GCCTATCTTCTCCTTAGAGCAACAAGTATCCTGGTGTGTCTATGCACATGCAGAACCTTGTATTACACTGACAAACTGGATTACTAATGAAGGAATTTCATTTTAAACACCTTTTTAAAGGTGGGGAATATTGTGTTTTGTGTGGTTTTATGCCAAATTGCTTGTAAGGCTCTTCACATACCAATGCCAACCGATAAATGAAATGTTTTGTCAAAAAAGGAAACTATTTTAATTGCTTCTGAAATTCAAAATCCTGAAAAAACCTCATCCAATCATTGTACACATCCCGTTCTTAATGAAGGGATCCTGATCCATCCATCGAACTACCCTCCCCCTCTGCTTTGTGTGTATGAATGGTGCATTATCTGAACAAGCAGCTGAACAAGAAGGGAAGTCAGAGCCTGCTAGCTACATTAGCTTGTATTGTTGCTATGTGGTTATGTGGGTAAGCTAAGTTTGGAACTATGGCTGAAAAGGTGCCAAAAACGGGTCGATAAGGTCAGATAATGTTACGCTCCTGTCAAAAGGAATGAATAGGAGTCAATGGAAAACCGTTTTGTGACCCCGTCTGACATGGGCCGTGGATTTCACAAATGATGTCTGTGAATTTAAAGACATATTTTGATGCCAAGAAAATGCATATTTTCAACACATTCTCACTCCCAGCGCGTCAAAAACAAACGCTTGGTCAGCCACCTCCACGTCAGACCCCTGATGCCAAAAGTGCCCTTTTTCGTTACTTATGTGCTGTTACTTATCCACCTATCCATCTATCTATCCATCTATCTATCTATCTATCTATCCATCTATCTATCCATCTATCTATCCATCTATCTATCCATCTATCTATCTATCTATCTATCTATCTATCTATCTATCTATCTATCTATCTATCTATCTATCTATCTATCTATCTATCTATCTATCTATCTATCTATCTATCTATCTATCTATCTATCTATCTATCTATCTATCTATCTATCTATCTATCTATCTATCTATCCATCTATCTATCCATCTATCCGTCTATCCATCTATCCGTCCATCCGTCCGTCCGTCCGGTCTGTCTGTCTGTCTGTCTGTCTGTCTACAAACTGAGAGCAATAATTAATGAAAAATAATAAACCGATGAAACACCATTGAAAATCAGACTTGTGTGATCAATGCAAGTACTATCATTGATTGCTTAACTCAGGGTGAAACGTACTGGAATAAAAAAGGTCAACTAACAGCTGAAATCTTAATTCTAATCAAGCCCACAAACAACCACACCCTAGAACACACTCCCACCATTCACAGAACCCTGTAAGAGAACTCACATACGCCCTCAAACAAACCTACTCCATCCTAAACACATCACCTCAGAGCCGAACAGACCCCCGTACGTTAGCACATAGTGGCTCTGTGTCTGGTGACACAGGGTGTGGTGCAGGGTGGAGTGTATCTGTGACGCCAGCCTGCCTTTCACCGCTTATTTTGGGGGGGGGGGTTTCTAATGAACATCACATCTCCTCAAAGGTTTTCCAGTCACCAAACTGCCTCTGTTTGTTTTTGCTCTTACTAATGGAAAAGAGGGAAGTAGAAAAGTGCAGTTTACCAAAAAACTTATAACCAGGTGTTTTTTCCCCTTTTTCAGGAATGTTTCACCTTGTAAAAAGCACATGAGTGGGAGGGAGTTTTCTTTCTTCTGTTTCTTTAAACCAAACCCGAGTGAATGGTTTGGGGAATTTTCAAGGGGTGTGTGCTGACCAGAGGGTATGAGAGAGCATAAATGTGTTTTGTGTGTGCGTCAGAGCTGAGAGAGGCTGAATTTTTCAATGCAACTGTGTGTGTGTGTGTGTGTGTGTGTGTGTGTGTGTGTGTGTGTGTGTGTGTGTGTGTGTGTGTGTGTGTGTGTGTGTGACTGCAAAAACCTACTTCTTGCCTCACTAAACTGCAAACAGCCACTGCTTCTGTTGTTGGGTGTGATCAGAAACACAGAAGCACACACCTGGTGGACGAATGAATGGCAGGTCAAACTGCCACACAGGGCTCCTATTGATGACATCACCAACAAGGATCTGGTCACTCCACCCATTTCATGTTCACAGAACCATTCATTCCACCTCTGCAGCACTATGGCTCTTTCACAGACGTGATGCCTGATGCTTATTTTTTCAGATTATCCAATTTAGTTGGTTTCCATAACGCGTTTTCACAAGACGTCCGTCAGACCCTGTCGTCTCCCTGAACAATGATGATGTTTATGACCTTCCATCAGTACAGGACAGATGTATGGATGTAAATTAGTGCCATACTTCATTTCAGAATCTTATGTTTAACTAGCCAAACAGCTCTAAGATTGTAAAACTTGGCTAATATGCAATTGAAACACCACAAATACACTGTAAATGTTGCTGTAATGACACTGTTCAAACAGCGGGCCCATTAAATGTAATGGCTGAACATACACTTGTAGAGATGTTGTCTGTGATCAGTGCTGCTCTGGTTCTAATGGTTCATAGATTACAGTCTGGAGAGGTTTATCACCCTTTCTGAACTGAACCTGGCTGAAAGGCGAGGAGCAGGGCTGCCAGCTTTTCATAACTGGTTGGGTGGACCTTATCTGGTGACTGAAGGAATGAATCAGTGATTGTTGCTTCCATGAGCAAGTCTTTTATATAGCAGGACCAACTGACACCAGGGTGATGATTATGGAAATAAATGGATAAATCTAACATTTGTCTGGTCAAATGGAAAAGTTGGGCAATGGTGTTTTTGTGTTTTTGTTTGTCTGGAGTGTCAGCAACTCCATGAACCTCTCAATGGGTTTTAATAAAAATATAAATAAACATCTGGAAAACTTTGTTGGAACTGCTTCTGCAACTGACCAATTCAAGATGGCTGCCACAGCTAGTCTACGTGGTTGATGTCAAACATGGTTCCACACATTTTGAGCTTACGTTTGGTGCCAGCTGAGAGGTGTTTACAAAATATACTTGGAGTATACGTGAAATATACGTGTAAAATGTTGCCAATGAAGAGACCATTAAAGCTGAGCTGAAAGGCGAAGTTTTTGATTTACCGGTCTACGCTCCTACCCTTATCTTTGGTCACGAGCTTTGGGTAGTGACCAAAAAAATGAGATTGCGGATACAAGCAGCCAAAATTCATTTTCTCCGCAGGGTCTCTCCAAGCTCGATCATCTAGGAGGGGCTTAGAGGGGCTTGGAGGAGACCCACTGCTCCTCCACATCAAGAGAAGCCAGTTGAGGTGGTTCGGGCATCTGGTCAGGATGCCTCACATCCAACACGGTGGAGACCCAAAGGAAGACCCAGGACACGCTGGAAGGACTATGTCTCTTGGCTGGCCGGGAAACACCTTAGGATTCCCCTGGAAGAGCTGGCCCAAGTAGCTGGGGAGAGGGAAGTCTGGGCCTCTGCTTAGGCAGAAGAAAAATGGAATGGACCCCTTCAGACAGAGGCAGAATATTTAATGAATTTTAAAACACCTTTTTAATGATTATAATTATTTAAGGTACATCTAAAACTGCTTACCGTTTGTAATCAACCAAAGTAAGATGGCCACCATGGCTGCTATCAACAAACACACAACTGAATAACTCAGTCAGTTTGATGTTTAGGTCTTGCGTGTCATCTGAAGGCCATCCCCGACTCTCAGCACCACTTTAATTAAAAACTTTGGCACCGACTGTTGATGATCACAAACCACCAAATGGCTTTGATTAGGTGGATCTACTGATTAGCCAACTCAAAAGTAGCAATAACTCTGTAAATCTTCCAGGAACTGATCAAACATCTGACGTGCTAGTTCCTGAGAGACCTTCACAACACCAACAGACAACACCTGATTTAGTAATTTAGCATTAGCTCACGCATATCGCTCATTTGTAGAATTTAGTTTGATCCAAAAAAAAGTCATTTTAATTTTTCAAAATAGTGTTTTAGGTAAAAACTGCAGTGACAGTAAGCATTTACAAAAGGAAGGAAGCCTTTATTTATGTCATCACTGTTCTGTTTTGAGTTTGGATGAATCTGTGTGAACTACTGATTTTGTCCGTCATCTAGAGTGCCGGATCAGAGGCTCCGAGCATCACACCGCCAGACGTGCGTAGGTTTCGGACCCTACTGACTCTTGTGATGCTCGATGTGATCTGATAAGAAAACCTGAGACTTAATTCCCAATTGTGGATTTTGGTGAAAATGTGCCAGTTTTCGGCTGCGCAGTGGTGCAGTGGTTAGAGCTGTTGCCTTGCAGCAAGAAGGTCCTGGGTTCGCTTCCCAGCCTGGGATCTTTCTGCATGTTCTCCCTGTGCATGCGTGGGTTCTCTCCGGGTCCTCCGGCTTCCTCCCACAGTCCAAAAACATGACTGATAGGTTAATTGGTCTGTCTAAATTGTCCTTGTGTGTGTGTGTGTGTGTGTGTGTGTGTGTGTGTGTGTGTGTGTGTGTGTGTGTGTGTGTGTGTGTGTGTGTGTGTGTGTGTGTGTGTGTGTGATTGTTTGTCCTGTGTGTCTCTGTGTTGCCCTGCGAAGGACTGGTACTCTGTCCAGGATGTACCCCGCCTGATTGCCCATTGACCGCTGGAGATAGGCACCGGTCCCCCCGTGACCCTACGTGGACAAGCGGGTTCAGACAGTGGGTGGATGGATGGATGGATGTGCCAGATTTCCTGAAGAGTAACGGCCATACAACTAACCCTAACCCAAGCTGAAAGGCAGGGATCACGTTTTTATGAAATTGTTTTCTGGCATTCTTCAAAAGGTATTGTGAAGATTTCTCAAGAGTTGAAGTGAAGGAGAGTGTGACCAGGAGTTACTTTACAAACAGTGTTTGTTTCTCAAGTCTTCTTTACGTTCCCTTCTCCTCATCCATCTCCATCCAGCTCTGATCGGCTGCAACCCCACCCACCCCATCACGCTAAGACCCCTCCCTCGCTGCTGCAGCCACAGACACTTGCTTTTTGTATGAAGGGGTTTAACTCAGTGAACAATCCTGCCTGTATTTCCCTAAATAAGCCAGAGGGACAGGAATTGCTGTGTGAGCCGGAGGGACTGGAAGCAGAGCGGTGCACAGCCTCTGGTTATAAGCCTTGGGAGTTGAACTCACAGCCTTCAGCTGCCTGGCTAACCTGACTGACTTGACTGAGAGAGCTTGTCTCCACTCCCTCTCTGTCCTGCTCCTTCCCTCCTACTTTCCAGCCTGGAGAGTGAAAGTGCACACATTTGGAAGGTGCTCCTCAGACCTGAGCCTGGACAGCTTGAAGACAGCTTGGGGAGGATTTTTTTTCTCTCTTCTCTCACTTTCATCCTCTCCCTTTTTGTCTGATCATTCCCTCTAAACAAACCACGTGGACGGACTTTAACGTTTTGCTGGAGGCAGTACATTTCAACAGAGGGTGTACTTCACCTGCAGCTGAGAAAATCAAACTGTGATTTGTGGGAATTTTAGTGAATTTTCCTGCACTTGTGAGCAGGACTGGGTTGGTTCAGCTGGTTACCCAGGAGGTCACCTCTCCTCCTCTTTGGCTGCATGTTTGCTGAATATCTGATGCGGTCTCATCTCATGGGAGACTCACGTGGCTGAAGCGAGGTGGGAGGTAGACGAGAGACCCAGCTGAAGTGCACACCTACGGCTCCCCTTACCTGGTGCGACCTCCCAGCCCTGCAGCCCCCCTGGGAAAAGACAGGTAAGAGCTACGTGCCCTCGTTAATCCTCTGGCTCCGAGTGCATCCTCAGGTTCTGTCATTTCTTCATTTTATCACATGTGCTTGAGACGACTTTGGCCAAAAGAAACAGAAGGAGTGAACAGGAAAGGGGAAAGAATGTATTTAGAAAAAGAGATTGTCAGTCATGAGACCGGCGTAATTCTCCTCACTCCTAAGCTAGTGCACAGAGTGAAAACTAGCAGATTAAAGTGAGTGAGTTAGGTCTGTTCACCAAATCCCTCCACGTGCACTGTACTTTGAAAGTGTTTGTTTTGTCTGTAATCGCCTGGATGTTCTGGGAGGAACTGGGACCAATGAGGGTTTAGAGTTGGTTTTGGTGGGGATTCTTTCCAGCTCTGGACTTTGTGTTGGTGCATTTCAGAGCTTGGCGAGGATGCTCAGGTAGGCATGGCATGTATCATGATCAGCAAGATTTGCAGGTTTGGGCTAACTCCAGCGCTACAGGGGTGTTCTCCATGAGGGTGAACCTCGTAGCTAATCACATCTTTAGAGAAAACCTTATTTTTTCCTCTTGCCCTTTTCTTCACCTTGCCTCCCTGTAGCTCAGCTCCGTCCTTTCACTGTGACGCCTCTGGCAAGCGATGCTGCATTCCTTCTGTAACAACATCCCTCCATCTAGAGAGGGCAGATCGTTGCGACTCTGTCTGCAGGTGTCCCAGGTGACACACTAACAGAGAGAGAGAAGAAAAGAAGAAAACAAAACGGGATAAAGACAACTTTGTCAAAATGTAACGATGATACCAAAGGACCAGGGCATCTCTTCACTGACTGAAGGGGAAAACCTTTGGCAGCATCCCTCTGATTCACTATTAGTATGAAGTTTATTGATCCTCGTTTGAGCCCTCATGTACCTGACTGAGGATCAGCTGGTGCAGCAGCCTGTCGATGTCTAAAGGAAACATGAGTTAAGTGGTGCTACAGGCTCTCTTTGCTTAACCCCTTGGAGGCAGTCGTTGCAGATTTGCAGCGTTAAAACCCACCTTCCTGGTTACTCCACGTACGTATTTCATGAGCATTTTTTAACTCAGAAGTACGCCTGAAGGACTTAGTTGTTCGTCCTTGTATCAAAACTTATTTTGAGCCCGAGAGGGTTAAATTTAACAGCTTTTAAAAATACCTTTTAGAGATTTTGTTTATTTGCGTATTCTCGAGCCATGCACACGGATGAGAGTGACCATTTCTGTAGCCACGGCAACCAGGTTGTGCCCCTGACTTTCAGTAATTTGCATCCTCAACTCTGTGGCAGGTGATTAGTTGTTGGTTGGCTAACAGTTCCAAGCTGCTCATGCACACACGCACACGCGCACAAACACACACACACACACACACACACACACACACACATAGATGCATTTTGTAGCCACAGGGAGGCAGACTAGCTGGTAACTAATCAATTATTACACAGGAGTTAACATATTTCACTGCATGTAGATATTTCAGTTATTCTTGCATATTCAAGTATTTTACACTGAGTTCAGCTCTTCTATGAGAAGTAATTATTAAGACATCACTCCACTTGCCAAGTGTGCGACTGCCTCCAGCTTTACAAAATAGTGGAAGAATCCTTGATTTGCTTTCTGCTGAGTGTGGATCTGCTTTGTACTCCCACTCACTCACGTTTGTGAGGTACATGCTTCTGCATGTGTGTGTCTGGGATTGAGACTGGGCCAGCACATGTGCCTCTGCTACTTTCAGTGCTAGCAGGAAATGAAGGAGAAATGCAAACTGTACTGGAGTCCAAAACACCTTCAGAGAACAAATGTGCACACAGACGAACATACACACACACACACACACACACACACACACACACACACACACACACACACACACACACACACACACACACACACACACACACACACACACACACACACACACACACAGCTTTCAAAGCCTATCAGAAGGAACGCTAACTGGTGTTGTTGATATACTGAGTGAGGAGCTGCAGTGAAGGGTGGTGGGAACCGAATACGGGTTCTGGTCTTAATCAAGGCTTGGACCAAATCATTCAAGACTAATAGGCTGGATTTGCTTTTCGGCTAAAAAGGGGACAAGGAACAGACAGACAGTACAGTACAATACACAAACGTGTGTGTGTGTGTGTGTGTGTGTGTGTGTGTGTGTGTGTGTGTGTGTGTGTGTGTGTGTGTGTGTGTGTGTGCAGATGCCTAAGGATTTGCACTTTAGCTTCCTTTCCCCCCACATGTTTATACACTCTGGGCTTGTTTGTTTGCACACCACCAGTTGCCATCTCAGCCTGGACAGCCAGATGACATGTGGGGAAGTCAGTCGGCAAAAAGCCAAGATAGTGGATCCGTACAAACGTTTGGCCCTTCAGCATGGACGGGGCAGCCTGTTGCTAGTCTGGTCCTAATATTCAAAGGTTTGTTGTGACTCTGGACAAGCCAGGGCACAAAAACACGAAGAAAGGGAAAACAGAGTAGAGGGTTTTCTGTGATTCAAATTTTCTTTCATGTGGATTACAGTTGTGGCAGTTTCACTTACTTATTGTTGTCTGATTTATTTCCCTGCAACTTTATATCTTCAGTTATCAACATCCCACTTGCGGTTTCATTCTCTCGTAACTGTCTGGACCAGAGGAAGTTTTTCCACTGGGTTGGCAGCTACAGGGAGATGGAGAAAGAGAGAGAGAAAGTAAGGAAGGGCGAGCAAGGAATAGAGAGGCTTGGCAGACGCCCCTTGTTATTTTTCCTCCGCCTCCCATTGACTTTCGGCACTCACAGAAAGAGCCTGCAAGTGCAGAATGGCTCGACAACAACATCTCTCAGTGAGGACTTATCGCGGGGTAGGAAGAGAGAGACTTTGGGTGAAGGTGGTTTACCTGTAGGGTTCCACAATAAATTACAAATTGATAGTCTTTTAAACTCAGCAATATTGCAAAGCCTGATATGAATCATGGGATACTACATTTCAAGTTTTGTGCATTGAATTTTGTCCCACACAAGGCCACGCTGATTGTGGTCCAGATGCTAAATCTCATGGATTGTCATGGCAGAACAAAAAAAAGAGGAAATCTGTTATTTACTGGAAGTGACATCACAAAAACATTCAATGGGATGACCACGGTCACATTTGAATCGAGAGTACCTCTGCATTAGCAGATGGCAATCACAGAGCATGCAGAAGCATTTGAAGACATATCTAGAATGATGTAGAGCTGGCAACCTTCCTAATGGACGAAAAGTCTTCTAAAAAAATTCTCATCTCACCCTCCATGGGTGGTCTCATCCTTCCAAGCTCTGGTCCTCTACCAGAGGCCTGGGAGCTTGAGGGTTCTACAGTACCTTAGCTGTTCCTAGTACTGCCCTTTTCTGGACTGAGATGTATGATGTTTATTTTCCGGAATCTGCTGTAGCCACTCCTCCAGTTGGAGGGTTACTGCCCCAAGTACCCAGAGGATCACGGGCACCATTGATGCCTTCACTTTCCAGGTTTTCTCAAGTTCTTCTTTGAGGCCCTGGTACTTCTCAAGTTTCTTGTGTTCCTTTTTTCTGATGCTACCATCACTTGGTATTACCACATCAACACAACAGCTATATACATATATGTGTGTGTGTGTGTGTATATATATATATATATATATATATATATATATATATATATATATATATATATATATATATATATATATATATACATTGCAAACAGAAAAACATGAGACTGATCATTGTAAAACTGCGTGTCTCTGTTGGCCAGTTACAGGTACACATTCATGCTTGAGAGGCGTTGCTTTTGACCGTAAATATGGATGTAGGGAGACGGACATAAGGTGTGATGCATTTGTCAGCCTCTAGATGGGGCTGTTGGATAAAGCTACAGATTAGAGCTCTAAGCAAGAAATCGAAAAACCTCACATCTCAGAAAAGGCTGAGGAACTGTTTTTTTCTCTGGATCATGACCTCTGACCTGTAAGCAGTTCTCAGCTTCCTCATGTCTCCACCAGGCTGCACACTGACAATAATTATTTAATCTGCATTTAAATGTAGGAGACTGGAGTAAGTCCCACACATTACAATGGATTAGGCAGTAATTATTCCTATCTGTTTTAGGTTTTACTGCATTTGATCCGATTTGGAGAAAGATAGGAAACGTCCATAAGAGGAAGTATGTGTGCCTGTGCGATCAGGTAACCAGTCAAAAAAAAGGGTATGCCTACAGAGACGGTGTGAGTTTGCCTTTGACTTCTGAATCTGCTACCTTACTGCACCTCAGTTCATTGTCTGGCTGGAGTTTTATTTTTGGTTTTCAAAAAGCAAGATGTAGGGCCAACTCCTCCGTACAAAACCTGCATTCTCCCTCTGCTCACCAGGATATAGACAGCCTTCCAAAGCCAAGTGTTTATTTTTATTATTTCATTTCAGATGAATGATGGATATATCTCTCCCTGATGGGTCAATAGTGAGTAAGAGGTTGGAAACAAGTCCTCTGAGACGATTAGAAGAGCTCCAGACTTTGTTATTGTTCAGTCTGAGTTTGATTTAGACGTGGGTGTAGGTGTTCGCAAAAAAAATTTAAATAAAATAAAAAGAGTGAGACTGGGGTTATTGTGGTGCTACAATCCCCTTGGAGCAGGATAATAAAAAGCATTTTATTTTACGAGGCGGACTTTCTGGAGTAGGACATGGATGGTTTCTAAATGACATGCACTTGTCAAGCTCCAGAACAGTCTCCAGTAGCAGGTAACAAGTGCAAGTCCTGCTCCTGCAGTTACATTAGATCTGTGACTTTTCACTTCCTTACACCGGGACCAATCCGGTCAAAAAGGAGCAAAACATTTATCCACCCATCCATTTTCTACACCTTTTATCCATGCAGGGTCGCAGGGGTCAAATCTCCAGCAGCATCCATGCAAACAGGCAGGGTCCACCCTGGCCAGGTTGCCAGTTCATTGCAGAGCTGAAGCAGGTCACTGACATCTACGCTGTGTGATAATGAT